AATCTGCTTGAGTAGATGGAAGGGATTTATCTATGTAGAGGGACATAAAGGAGAGAATGTTGAGGAACCCTGAGTATTAGGGATGTATCATCTTATACGTGACATTGATTATTCCTCAAATTCATCTTTTTCTGAAATGCCACAATTTTATTGTAAAATGGTCCAATTGAGAGTCACCTTGGGACTCTTTTTTCTTGGTTTCTAAAGTTGAGTGGAGACGATAGTATGTCTTCAGAGAAAAAAAATCTTGCAAGATTTATTATTGCCAGATAAAATGATTGCACACAATCTTTCTAGGCATTTGTCAGGATTATGAGGGTTTACAATGGCTGGCAAAGTTTAAGTCATAAGCTCAGAAGTACTGAAACAGACTGACCACCTCCATTAGCTAGACTATGAGGAGCATCCAGACTTCTGCATGTTTGAAGCAACTTTCTGTTTTTTTAAAATCGCTTTATCTTTCATAAGGACCACTGTGTATTCTTGGTTCACTGAACAATGTGTTGTGCAGCTTCTCTACTGACCCTAGAAAACATTTGCTGCAATTGAATTTTTAGACTTACTGTAAATGCATTTATGTAATAAATGTTACAAAATTCCTACTGGGGATGTTCAGCAGTTTTTTCCTTGTTTACTTCAGAATAGATAAGCTGCATTTTGTTTCAAAAAAACAATTTAATATTGTCTGATGCACAAGAAATTGGCTCTTGTGTAATTTTGCATCGTATTTCATAGCTGGGACAATTTTTCAAACAACACCTGAATCTATGCAATAAGGAATTTTGTGATGCTTTCTTTCAGACTGTCAGAGCAAAGGTCACTTCAATTTTCAAGTGTATATGTGTCTTATATTTTTCTGCAATTACATCTTTTTTCCCTCTTTTTTCATTAAGAAATGATGTTTTGCATGTGGAACTAATTGTACTTATTTTTGTTCATCAGTGCTTTGAGAAAGGCTAAGAGCTTGATTTCTGTCAGTAACTGGATTTTATTCTGAGTGAAATCTCATGCTTTTCTCCCTTTTTAAAACTACTTTTTAAACAATATAATCAACAGTGGTATAAAAATGCACTATACAATGTCATATTTTAGGCAGTCATACTGGATTGAACTGTAATTAATTGCTGTTGCTGAATACACTGTGGTCCTTATTCTTTTTTCATATCCTAGCTTTTCTTTGTGTGTAATAATTCCATCCAGGAAGAAATCTAATTACTAAGATAATTAACACCTTATCACCAAATGGAGTTCAGACATTTGTAGAGTTTATGAATTTTTAAAATATGTAATTTCCTTTTAACTGAATGACAACTGGTGTTATGGAGAAAAAGAGCATATTTTATTGTATCTAGCTTGATTGGACCTTATAATTCATGTTGCTATAGAAACAACCAAACCTTTATAAAGGATGGTATTACTACTACCATTGGTAATAAATGCTTTGACTGTTGCCAATAGTGTCATTAAAATGGTTAAAATAACTTCATTATAATGGTTTTGTCAAATGTAATGAATGTTCTGTTCATGTTCGGAGAAATGGCAGCTGATGTTATGTGATACTGATTTATAAAGTAATGTACTTTTTCTTCCGTAAGCTTACTATTACTGTACAAGATATGTGCGACATGAACAAAATTGTGTTGCAGAATACAGTGCTCCTCTGTTCATTCAGTCCTTAAAGCTAACGAATTTTATTGTTACTTGATATCAAGCAGAACTTCCTATCTTGCAGTTTGTCAGTCTTAAGAAAGCAATTGAGGCTCTTTAGCCAACAGCTCTGGGGATTTTTGCTGTTCTGTGCAATATTCAGCTTGTGTTTCCCACTTATGATTATTGGACCAAGTCCTTGAAAACGTTCAGTTTTATACTGGTTTTGATTTGGCATTCAAATGCCATGGTTTAACTTAATCTCAAATGACGAAGTCTGAATCCATGAACTCAAAAAGGAATTGAAAGAATTTGGTTTCTTTTGTGAGGATTTTTCATAAGGAAAAGGTGAAAGAGGATTCTAATAACATAATGTCTAATAAATTCCTAAGCAGCTAACTATATATGCAGGCACATGTAAAAAGGAGGCCAAGACATTTGTTTTAATATAAGCTCATTGCCAATACTTAAATAAAAAAATGTTTTCTTTTAAGTTAAAAAAAAAAAAGTCACAAAAGATATTTACTACCATATACTGTTTGTATGAAGGCCACTGTGGTGCATATAAGCTATGCATGCTCTAATATTGCACCTAATTAAACTACTAAGAACAATATTCCCTGCTTCCCCTTTCTTGGGTCTTTTGCCAGCAGATTCTCCTGTTCCAGTAGAGCTCATTGTTGCAGGAAGTTTTTCTTTCAGCTATTCAAACTCAAGTTTCTTCACCCACTGTAACCACAGCATTATTTTTTCTGTGGTGATGTACTGTCTAATAAGAAATGATAGTTCTCTTTGGCCATTCAAATACCTTATAAATGTCATTTGGATTACATGCATATGTGTTTACAGTTCTGCTGTTTCTTGTCCTGATGAGGGGAAGAGAAGCCTTCCAGCCATTTCTTTAGGTTGCAGATAGTCTTGGAGACCCCTTCTTAAGCTCAGGTGTAAGCTTTGCTTGTGGCAGCAGTCTTTATGCTGTTCACCCCAAAAGAATCTGTCTCAGCTGTTCCTTTGCCTGTAGCCTACTTAAGAACTGTAAAATTATTTAGGTTGGAAGGGACCTCTGGAAGTCATCTCATCTATTCCCCCCATTTGAAACAGGGACAGCTGTAAGTCAAATACCACCAATATCTTTATAGGGTTTTTGCTTTTCCTCATAAATCATATTTTCTCCAGTTCATCATTGTTACTGATAGTGTAGAATCAACTCTGTGTTGTAGAAACAGTCTCATCTGTGTCAGTAGGGAGCACTGAGCACTTCTGAGCACTATATATTTCTGCCTCTCTGCAGAAGATATTTATCATTTTTCCTACTTTACACAAGCAGGCTGAATACAAAACAGTGGCTGTGGTTTCATAGTTTCTCACAGGGCAGTGGTCATCCAGCTGGCTAGAGTCAGATTTGGAAAACTGAGTTGATATCTCCTGCGTCCCACAGAGTGCTCTGTAAACACCATGCAGTAATCTCTTGGTTATACGACTCATTTTTCTGGCCATGTCACAGAATCACAGAAGGGTTGAGGTTGGAAGGGACCTCTGGAGGTCATTTTGTCCAACTCCCCTGCTCAAGCAGGGCCACCTAGAGCCAATTGCCCAGGACTGTGTCCAGACAGCTTTTGAATATCTCCAAGGAGGGAGACTCCACAGCCTCCCTAGGCAATGTGTGCCAGTGCTCAGTCACCCTCAGTAAAAAAGTGTTTCCTGATGAGGAGCATACCACCTGAGCCCCCATGCCCTTGACTACTGCCCCCCAGAGCTCTGTAGTCACTTTTAATACTGTCCAGATTTCCACTCGCAGAATCATTTGTGCCAACATGAAATAACAGCAGGGAGTGGTAGTCAGAGGGCCAGATGAGCCCCACAGCATCCCACATCCTGGCCCCTGGCAGACAGCAAACCTCTCTAGATGGTTGGTTGGGTCGACAGATGGGTGCCTGTGTCCCCCACAGCAGGGAGTCGCCCATTGCGATGACTCGCTGCTTCTTCCTGGTAGTCTTGCATGGTTTAGGGGTTAGGTGGACAAGAGACTTTGCTTGTCAGCACATCTGGCTCCTCTTTGACTTTGAGGGCAATGAACCTATTTTGCCATTGTAAGCCCTTAGGTGGAGCAAGATCCTTCCTCTTGGTGTCAGAAGTCACCAGCTTCCATCTTTCCCCTTCTCCAGAGGTTTCGCTTCCCTTGGTAGTGGGGGTTGACACTACCTGCTTCTCTGCGGCAGATGGGAGCTGAGGCTCTTCAAGCCGTTGATTTGCAGAGGAGATCCTGTCTATCTCCCTTTCATCTTCTCTGATGCTGTGCAGCCTTCTCACTTCCTCCCGTAACTCCTCCGCTTGGAGGCACAGCTCCTCCAAGACAGCGCATCTCCTGCAGGACGGAAGCCCATCTCTCCTGGCACAAGAGAGAGGCCCCAGGGACTCCCTGCAGCCTGGGACTTGGAGGGCTGCACCCACCATCTGAAGCTCAGTCTGGGTGCAAGCCTCAACCCTAGCAGGGACGGCTACTCCAACATCTAGCGGGGAAAATGCTCAGTGACGTTACCCCTGTGTCTAAGACTGTCGCTGTGGCACAATTTCAACTGAGGCCCCCTCACTTCACCCCCTTCTGTGCTCCCTGCTGCGCTGACTGCTGCGTCTGCTGGCTCCTCTGTTAGCTGTGCTCTCTTAAGCTGCTGTGTGTGAGGGTTCTGCATATCCAGTCCAAGGGGAACAGTTAGGAAATGTTGACTTTGCTAAATAACGAGAGTTCAGTGCCTGTGCATTTGTAAACTCAAGTATTTTGTTTTCCTTTTAAAGCAAGGCATAGGCTGATTTTATGGAGTACTGAGTTAGAAATTAACTTGTGACTGAGAGATGTCTTATTGGCTCCAAAGCCAACTTTGTTCAAAATTGCTAGGTTATATGGCATGCCAGTCCCTTCTTTTGGATATCCTGTTCTACTTCGATAGCAGCATTATAAAACATTGAATAGTTTACAAATTCTAGTGGCTAAGTCTCAGAAGTTATAAATCTTGTGGATTAAGCAATCAGAATTCAAGAAATTTACAAGCTCTGCTGATCACCTATAATTTCAAATGAAGGAGGAGTTGGTCCAGATGTTTTCACTCTTCTGTCACAATCCTCATCCCATATTTGCTGCAGTATCTTTCTTCTGTTCCTTGTGCTCTCGGCTGAGTACCAAATGCATTTTTCATTACCAAGCAATGGTATTAAAATCTCATTATTGTTTTTTCCGAAGACCATTTTAGGTCTCAATTTCTGTAGATGAAGAGTTATGAGTTTGTGTACACTAGCTTTTAAGGGAGCAAGACTTTTACATGTCCTTAGTTCTGTGTTTCTTTCCACTTTCTTTACAGAGTGCCTGGAATAACAATTGCTACAGACATCATTTGTGGTTTTCCAGGAGAGACAGATGAAGATTTTCAAGAAACAATGAAACTTGTAGAACAGTACAGGTTTCCGAGCTTGTTTATTAATCAATTTTACCCACGCCCAGGAACCCCGGCTGCAAAAATGCATCAAGTTCCAGCTGCAGTGGTAAGATTCATTTTCTTGTACCACTGTACATGGTATACTCAGATATCTTTAAATACATAAAGCATGTACATGAAAATGTAGATTTTCTGCAGAACTATGCTAGAATTCAATTAAAGTTTTTTTTCAGTCCAGTAAGCGAAATGATTGTTGAATTGCATTTAGAGGTTAGCTAGATCACTGAACGCATTTTCATATATAAATTACTGTTCAGATTGCTAGGAAGGGTAAAATAGTGGTTATACTGAAGTCATGTCTTCTTTCTGTCAAATTTTGGCTGAATGAGTACCAAGAGGGGTAGCTGATTGATTATGCATATTAATTTTTTTTTCCATTTTAAGACTTCTGTGACTCCAGCAATCTCAAGCTTATTGTGAATAATTATGCAAAGTATTAATAATAGAGCAATGATAATCTCTGATTTATTTGTCAAATACCAAATTTGCAGGCAACTTCTTCTCGAGACCCTTCTTATACACTGCTTATTAACTCTGCTTTGTTCAGGCTACATGTTAAAGGCCATTGATAAAACTGGCATTTAATCTTTCAGTTTTCAGGTGGTTTCTTTCTTTCTTTCTATTTTTAAGTGAGAAGTGTAACCCTTCCTGACTACCAACATTCTCATCTCAAATTCCCATGGGGAAGACAGCCTGTTTTGATATAGAAGATAGATGGCTATTGACTGTATTTTGCTTGATATAAATAGCTATTTATAAGCGATAATAACAGCAATCACATCTGAAGGCATGGTTTGATTTATTTTAAAAAAAATTGAATTTGTAATTTTTGTAATCTGAATCTCAAAACAAGAAAGACTGATGCCCGTACAATAATTCAACTCATTATTATTTCATTGTTATGGGCATAAATAACATTTATATTTCCTTTCAGCCAACAATGTAAATCAGTTTAAATAAAAAAATGTTTCTTTCAATTTATGTATCCTGGTACCCCAACACGAAGTCACAACTACGTATCAGTACTTGTATCCCTTCGCTTATAGATCTGAAAGCTAAACAAAGTATTTCTGCTTACTCTCAGTATATACCACAAATTCCGTAGGATGTGGCAGCTGCTGAAGGCATAAAATGAGATTATATTTGGCTTCTTCAGTTTATTGTTCAGAGAAGTACAGCTTGAGCAACGACTGCTCATTTGTTGTAGGCTATCTCATAATGGGAAATACTGAGTTTTCAAATATAAATAGCTGCTGTTGAAATAGTCTACTTAGTGTAACCGACTCACATTGTTGAATTATTTTTATTAGTCTTGAATGCTTTTTACAAACTTTTGTAAATGAAAAAAACGCAGAAATGCAATTTTTGGAAGTTAGGAGACTTAGAAATCAAAACATTGATTTATGTTTCTGGTTTGTGTTCTTTCATCCACAAATTTTTACGCGTGCTATTTTCACAGGAAGTGCAAAGAGCTTAAGTTAATTTACCCTCTTCTGTTTAACTGGGTGCTATAGGAAGACAATATGTGAAGAGCTAAATTATTAAAAGAACATTAGCTGTTCTGTGGTTAGGAGTGTTCCTTGGAAAATGGTAATGTCATTTTAACCCAGTTTTGCATTCTTTCTTCTTATTTGTAGCACTCGTACTTACTGCTTTCAGCGAATTAGAACCTTCAAAGAAGATGGGGGGCCTATAATCCAGGGCTGATGAAAATCTGTAATTAGTAGATTTTGTTTCTCTCTCTTCCTCCCCCCACCCCCCTGTAGTCCTTCAAAAATCTTGTGTTATGAGATCCTTTGTTCTTTTATCTCTTTGTAGAAATGGGGAGTAACTAGTCAAACAGAGCAGGAAGAGCTTGCGCTAATCTCCTGTGTTTCATATTCACATTACTTCTAGGCAGAAGCTGACAGTCTTTCCTGCATTACGAAGAATGGACAAGCATTTAATTTGTCATTCCTTGCCTAGAGTAACTTATGCATGTTTCTCTGCTAGGAGAAGGAAGTACACGTTACCATCCACATTATGCACTCTTACCCCTTCATCCTTTAATAAAATATTATTCGTGTCATCTTAGTGTTAATGAATTTATTTTATT